ACTGACCATGTTTTTCTTTGTAAATTAATGTGACCTGCTCTGATTTCTTTGCGTGATCACAGTACTATTCTACATATGATTTATATATCTGTCTCCTACAAACTTATGGAATCTTGAGGCCAGGGATCCTATCTAATTCATCTTTGTATTCTGAGCACCTGTAAAATGCCTGACATTGAATAAATAAATGAACAAAAGAGTGAATGAATGAAAAAATCCAGTGAAGCAAATATTGGCCTTATAACCCAAAGTACAGATGGCAAACACCCAGCCCCAATGCTGTATTTTCCCTTCTCTTATGCAGAACAGACTTTTTGAATTAATTATGGGCCAGTGAACCTAGATCCAGGCAGCCTATGCCTTCTGCATTTAGCTTTTTTCTTGTGTAGTCTTAGTATTTAATAAAATTATTCAGAGCAGTGGTATCCTAACTTTTTTGATTACACAAATGAGTAACCTTATTAGTAAACATAACTGGGGGTGCATCCTCTTTGGATGCTTCTGTGTATCCCTCTGGGCCACATGAGAAGACTGGTCCATATGGGCCACATCACTGGGCTCCTTTAGCCTCTGATTTCCGGTGGGTTTGGCAGGAAATGGAGGATAAGACAGAATGAGGCCAGGACAGTATTTCCCTGGCTCATACCCTGCCCAGTGGCCGTGGGTTAGCTTGCTCCCTGTCCTGAAGGCTACAGCTCCTGCCACGTGGACCTCTCCATACCTCTCCCCTTGGTTCTGGCATCTCTTCCCTCCATTTGTCCCTCCCTGTATTTACTTGTCTGGACTGTATCCTCTCCTGCTGCCTTTACTGAAGCCTGGTTCCCCAAACTGGTGTCAACTGTCCTTCTCTTAAACTTTCTTCAGTTTATTCAGTTTGCAGATAACTTCTATTTCCTGCTGAGCCTGACTGATCTACTGCCAAGGCATGTAATCATTTTTAGTGTGCCACTATATACTAATCACAATCCATATATTAAGTATTATTAATAGAGCCCAATTTCTCTTATTTTTCTGAAGGAGATGAAGTTTCAATATTTTCTTCCCACACCCTGGTTGATCCCTTTTCAGCTTTGGAAACCGTGGATTTAGAAACCAGTTATCCAAGTCTTCCTATCAGATTTCGCGGAATAAGACTCCTCTGAGTGTGGCTTTGAAGGCACAGCAAGAGCGGAGACTGGTTTCTGCAGGATTTACGTACTTAGAGAAAAAACCGTGGCCATGGGATGTGCTCACTGCTGCTGGCGTTTCAGTTCCCCTCAGAGCCTCCGAGCCAGTGCAGCCGCTGCTGGGCAGAGAGCAGTAGCATGGCTCAGTACACAGGCAGCCAGGAAAGTGAGTCTGGAGAACATTAGGCTGGGACCAAATAATGCTTGAATTGCAGTCTTTCATTTTAAAGAGATTTGTTTTTAAATAATGAATGAAGGCATCACAACCCTTTGGCTTTGAGACTTTTAATTCTTCATTCTTTACTATAGAATGCTTCCGGCCCCTGTGGCTCGGCCCAAATCAAAATCCATGTTCTAGCAATGCCTATGGACAGGATCTGCAAGCAATCTGACTGTTACTTATGGTTGATTATATTTTAAAAGGGAATTGGCTCTACCTAGTGCCTCCTGGAAACAATTGAACCGAAGTTTTGTGATTTATATTTATTTTCACAATTGTAGACACTTTCAGACAAGTGTTTACATCTCCTGTGTGTTGGTAACATAACCATAGTTACATCTTGTGTCATCTAAAAAAATTATTTCAGGGCTCTCATATGCACCACAGATTTATCTCCTTCACTCTCCAATCAGTATTATAAATAGATCTGGTCTCCTTAGCAATAGGTCTCGTGAAAGTTTTGAATAAAGCTAAATATTCTATGAGTTTTCATTGTTCAGGGCATAATATCTTGATTTCTAGGGCATTAGGAAAATTTTCTCCTTTATCATGAAGACTATGTTTTCCCCCCTACTTTGATTAAAACCTTAAATAAATATGACATAATGACCAATGGGAATATTAAGAGAGACAGCCTCATTGTTTAGGCTGTTACAATCACCTTGCTCTGACATGGCTTTTAATTTGGGACCGGAAAACTGAGAATCCAGAGTGGTATGTGGTAATGTGGTAGTAAGTAATGAATTAGCAGAGTAAACTGGGCTGAAATCAGGAGTTACTTAATACCGAGCCAAATAGTTGAAACCAGGATGGGTGTGAATTTGGGGAGAAAAAAATAGTTAAAATGATCAGGTAGGGAGAGAAAATTGTTCTGGCTACATATGGAAGAAATCCTGCCTTTTTTTCAGATCTTTAGGGGTCTTTGCTTAGGATTCAGCTGTAGGAAAGTAAGTTGAAGCAGGAACCTGATCTTTTGGTGCCTAACATTAGTAGTAGAGATACTAATAGAGTATTAGAATCTGAAAGGATGCTCTAATACTCAAAAGTGTTTGTTTACCAGTGAATTGACTGAGGACCAGAGATTTGGGGTGACTTCCACATGAAACTGGAGCACCCCACATCTGCTGGTCCCCAGGTTCAGGTAGTTTCCACCAGACCAGATGTCTTCAAAGTGTTATGCTTATGTTTTAGAGATGGAAGGGATCTGGGAAACTGTCTTGATTCAAAGGGTTCCACTTTGCAGTAGGAAAGATGCCCAAGTTATTCATTAAGTGAGCAACAGAACAAGAACAAAACCTAAGTCACAGGATTCCTAGTCTGGTGCTTTTTCCCCATGATATCAGCATTTATCCATATGCCAGATACTGTGTTAGGCACCAAAGCACAGAGACAAACACAGTAAGACCTCTGCCTTTCAAGGGAATTTTCACATATATCCCCGTATAGAAAATGTGGGTCTTCCTTCATTCCCATACATATTCAAGCTAGACAACAGGGGCTGAAAGTGCTTAAAGCACACTGTGGTGCATGATTTGGTGGAAAATAGTGAAGTGCCTTATGTGAACAATACAGTTCAAGTCCTTTAGATGTAAGTTCCATGTTGGCAGAGATTGTTTCTCTCTTATTTTTTTCTGCTGCCCCAGCTTTCCCTGGCACACAGTAAGTGCTCAGTAAATTTTGAATGAATGAATGAATGAATATCTGCCTGGTATTTAGTGTTTAATAAATGTTGAATGGATAAATGAATGAATGTACTGTGCACTGTTCTGAGGGATTATCCGGAATCTGAAATGATAATGCCAGAGGTCATAATTCATGATGCTTGTTTTATGACTGGAGACAAGTTAATTCCATACTGTAGCGGGCCCTGGAAGATTCAAGGCTCCTAAGTTTGAATCCTGGCCCTATCATTGGGTAGAGACTGACAAGAACAAATTTCCCTTTTCTCCTGGGCATGTAGCCAAACTACATTTCCCAACTTCCATTAGAGCTGGACACACCCTTGTGATGAGTTCTGACCAAAGGAATGTGGGCAGAATTATGCATCCCACGTCTAGGTCTGGCCCTAAAAAACATCCCATGCAATACTCTAATCTGCTATCTGTCTGGTGACCAGATGCAGAAATCTAGCAGCGGCCTCTGAGATTCTAGGGAATGTTTCACAATTTTGAAGAAGCCTGGGTCCCTGAATCGCCCTGGAGGACCACCAACCAGACATCTTTACTGAACTGATATGTGAATACGACCTAAGCCTCTGTGTTAAGCCACTGAGATTTTGAAGTTGTCTCAACAGTTATCCTACCCTGTTCGGTCCTTTTGGACAAACCTGGACACAGCTTAGCCTCTCTGAGCCTAGGTTTTCCTACTTGCCCAATGAGGACCATAATGTAACCTGCCTCTTAGTGTTGTTATGATACTTATCAACGTGAAGCCCTTAGCATAGTGCTGGGAACATGGTAAGCACTTGATATATGTTAGCTATTATGTACTTTTTATCATCTCAAGTTTGATAACCAAAGTATAGCAATTTTAAAGATGTCTGAAAGACCATCCCATATGTTTTTCTCTCTTTATTTCTGGCTACTGAGGCCAACAGATAATCCTCCAGAACCTTGTATCAGTGAGTCTCAAATATTTTTTTAGAAATAGAACTCTCATTTTTCTTTCTAGTATGGTGTTATATATATGGATGCCAGGTAATAAAAGCAAAGCTGTTCTAGTTGTAAGAGATGCCCTAGATCTACTTGTCTAGCCTTTCCTTGGGCCTTTTGTTGGGCACCTCTACAGAATCCCTGAGCTACAGAGGACACAGTTTGAATACTGCTGCCATGGGTGAACACCCTGGGGAAGTGCAGTGTTGTACAGTCACCTAATGCGATGCCCTTATTCCCTCTCCCTACGACTGCCAATCTTCCCACTCCTTCCGTTTTCTCCCACGCCCGCTCTCCATGCCTTTTCCTGGTTCAGTGCAGGTACTGCGTGGCAGTGAGGCGGTGGTAAATATGGACTTCTTTTCCTTTCATTTAAAGTAGATTGGTGGCTCTTTTCAATAGACTATTAGAAGAGTAACTGCTATGTATGATTTAAAAGGACTCTGAACTTTGACTCTCCGCTGTGTGATCTATGGATGGCTTGAAGCCTCGGGGTCAAGGGTTAGAAGTAATGAATTTATGGCTAGATTCTGCCTCCTCTCACTTTGAAAAAAGATGGTATATTTGGAACATTAAATTATAAACATTTTTTCTTCCAGAAATGGTCTTAGAGGAAATGTACTAAATCAATATTTTCCAACCCCAATCAAACTATCGTATTATTTACCAGGGGCTTCAGGAGTGATTGAAGGGAGAAGGACTTAGGGTGAAGAAAAGACCAAAGCTCCAGCCACTGCTGCTGTGTTTAGGATTAGGGGAAGGAAAGGACAGGAGGCGGTAAACTTTTTACATGCTAGGGCTAATGCAAATAGTTAGGAAACACTGCTGATCTTTTAAAGGATCAAAAGACGTGATAGGTAGAAATACTGATGGCTACTCCTCTAAGAGGAGGTATTTCAGAGAAACTGGTCTTTTGGTGATTGTATCATCGTGACCCACGAAAAATGAAAATATCCTACTTACCTTTTTTTTTTTTTGTCACGACCCCAGCCATTGGCTTCTTTATTGAGCACCAGATTTTCATCATAAGTCACCACAGAAGAGAGATTCAGATTCAACCAATCCCAGACCCAGGCCCTGATCCAGGCCCGGGCACACAATCAGAGGAGGGGCCCGGCCCTGCTGAGGTATACATGTGTACAGAAATAGGCACACAGGCTTCAGAGTATCAGTAGCTGATTTTGGAAATCATGGTCTCCCTGGAAGGAGTAAAGGGGAACGTGTCGCTTGACCCCAGAGTAGTGACGTATCCATCCACAGGGTGAGGGCTCAGAGAGATGGCCACCATGTCTTCATGCATGCTGCCCTGCCGAGGCCGGAGATGTCATCCCATAGGCTTCATAGAGCAGCTCAAGAAGCTCGTTCTTCTCATCTTCTGGGAGGAAACTGGACTTTGCTGCGTTGATGTTCAGTCTCTTAAACTCCTCTTCAGTGAAGCCCATGTCCTGCTTGGTCATCTGGTAATCTGTGTCCAGGGTAGACTTGAAGATGAGTGGGTCGTCCGTGTTGAGTGAGTAGTTCGCCTGGTCATTTTTGAACCGAACAACCGCATGCTCCGTGCCCGGCTTCCAGGCGCCGGTGAGGTAGCTGGACCAGGGGCAGACCTCGAAGTGCATGTTTTCCTGCCGCAGCCTGTTGTAAAGGGCCTCGTCCTCCAGGGTGTGGTAGCCGTGGCCCAGCCTCTCTGTCTTGAGCGTGTCCACGGCCTCTCTCACCACCTCCGCCGAGCCCGCCTCCCCGGCATGGACCGTGCGGTGAACGCCGCTCTTCACGGCCTCCTCGTAGGCCTGCACATGTCCTGGGAAGAGGCTGCTGCCTTGGATGGTCTCATCCCCAGCCAGGTCGATGGCCACCACGGTCTGCTGCTGGTACTTCTTACACAGCTCCACCACCTCGGGGGACCAGCTGGGCTGGTGGCGCATGCAGCACAGGATGGACTGCACCTTCACCCCGAAGTCTGCTCTCCCTCCTGCAGGCCCTGGTCCACTAGGGCCACCACCTCATCCGGGGTGACGTCCCCTTCGGCCTGGTTCCAGGGGATGGGCTCCACCTTGGAGTTGGCCAGCAGGTGTGGGCTGTAGCGCATCTCCACGTACACCACTTACCTGGAATCATTCTCTGGTTCACATAAATATGTGGCACCACATAAATGTGGATATTGAATGAACTCTCAGATTATTCTAGAGAGGTTAACAGGCTAGTACCAATGCCCTTGCGTTTGGAGGCCAAGGCTGAAACAAAGAGAGTGCCTCTAAAAAGTTCATGGTTCTCCAGTGACGTTTCAGATTAGACTTGGAGTCAGGGGTGGCTGTTTTGTAAACAGTCATGCTCAGATGTTCCAACTCTAGGCAGGCCTTTCCTTTCTTACTAAGCTCTTGATTAGCCCACTCAATGCTTCCTTGGGATTATCGGGAAAAATCGGATGATTATCACTCGTCCACACTGGTCCTTATTTAGAAGGCTTTGGTAATCCACTTGCCCATGTGAAAATGCTAACGATAATTTGTGTGTGCGTGTGTGTGTGCGTGCGCGCGCGTGTGCCCAGCTGCTGTAGGTTGTACTAAGCAACATACACATGTTATTTTATCTAATGCTCATTCTGATCTCATGAGACAGTAAAAACAATTTTATAGATGAATCTGAGGCTTTGAGGTGGCCCAGCTATTATGGAGTGAGCCAGGACTTGAACCCAAGTCTGCTGGACTTTGAGATCTCCATTTAATCGCACCTTTGATAGCCACGTTCAGCAACACATAGTCCCCCTGTGTTCCCTCCATCTGCCCTAATACATAGTCTCATGAAACTTCATATCACTTTGTTTAACCACCTGAAATTCCCCTCATCAGAAATATATTAAATACATTTTTTATTAAAATGAAGCTTCTACCAGTCAGGTTAAATGGGAAGCAGTAGAAATGGGTTAAATTACATCCTTTTAAAATTAAGGCTTAACTGAGATCAGAACAAAGAAGGCATGGGAGCTGTGAGCGAGAATTGTGGTTGTGGAAGAAATCACAGCACGGAGGATATTTATGTGACTTGTCAGCCTCAGTGACATGTGGCAGTTGTCTGCTGGGGTGAGTCTGGGTATAAAATGGCAACATCGGGGCTCAGGTGGGGAACTGTGAAAGGACATGAGACGGTAAACAGGGGTGCACAAAAAAGGAGGTAGATGGAACACGAAGACAGACTCCATCCATTCTGCTGTTTTTCCAATGGCCAACTCTGCTCGCCCTGAACAGAGAGAGTGGTAGTCGGGGGGAGGTTGAAATTTTCTCTGAAGGCCATTTTACTATGTAATTCTCATTCTGTCACACAGATTGCCTTACATAGCTGTATACTAATTTTTCCCCATAGCCTACTCATATATCGTTATTCAATGAAGTAATAATGTTAAAAGCAAGACAATCTATAATGCACTTTCAATAAAACTCTGAAAAACAGTCATTGATCCTTCCTTAAGTCGGCTACCTACCCCCAGCTGCCTTATTGCTCTCATTGTAGAGGCGGTTAAATGACCAAAGATACTTAATATGTAAGTTATGAAACATTTCCACTTCCTTATTTACCACTTAATGGTCATTAAAAGAGTAGGAACATCATCCTTTTTCAGGGGATGTAAGATGGATCCTGGCTTGAATAGAGTACTCATTTATCAATAATCAATTACTCAGTTAACCATTAAAGATAATAATCATTTCCACCACACTTACAATAAAATGCTACAAACGTCAATGAATCATTATTTTACCCTAGGGCAGACCTTAAATCAATTTCTTACTACCATTCATTTTACTTCTGCAGTTGTGGTGGACATTCAAAGGGCCGAAACATAAGGAAATCCTCAAACGGCTGAATGGTTGGGAGAGGGGAAGCCTGGGAGGTGTAATCTCTGGGATCTCTGTGGATTTTATCCAGGATAACATCCAAGTGGTTCTGATCCACAGGATTTTGCCTTACTCTTCAGGTTCATTCCCATTGACCACAGGAGTCTTGATTGGGGATTTCCAATTTCAACTTGTTCAAATCCCATGAGTTGCTTTCATGCTTATTTACCAGATTGAGTCTAATATGATGTTGCCTTAAATACACAAAGTGACAGTGGGGATGATGGTGTAATCATGGGGTGGAGATGTAATATCACTCTTCAGAGGCTTCCCATTGCTCTTAAACTAAAGCAAAAGCTCCTTAAGAAGACTGACGGGGCCCTGAACAGTCTTGTCACTGCGTATCTCTCTTGCTTCATCACACACGCCACACTCTGTTTCTCTCTTGTCTTCAGTGAACCTGGCCTTCTTTCAGTTCCTTGTATTCCACGTGATCTCCCCTGCCACAGGGCATTTGCACGCACTCTTCCTTCAGCCTATGAGGCCACCTGCTCCCTGCTCCCACTTTCACCCACTTAACCTCTACTCTGCCTTCAGTTTTAAGTTCAAGTTTTGCTTTCCCAGGGAAGCCTTCCGTGATCTGCCCTAGAATACCACTGTGTGCTCTTAGAATACCATTTCCTTCTCCTTCATAGTGCTTTCCCACTTCCAGTTTTACATGTGATCGAGCAGCTGTTTGACAGATGTAGTCTTGGTCTTTCCCAACAAACTGTGAGCTCGGTTCGGGCAGAGTGGTATCTAGTTGTGCCCACCAGGATGTGCCTAGTTCATAGTGGGCTTTCAATAAATATCTGTTAAACTAATCACAAGCTGATTAAGAAAAGACCCAGGAAGCACACCATTAAAATCAGTGTAGGAGACCTCATCAGCTGCTGTTAGGAGTGCTTCCTGGTTCCTATGGCATGGTAATGACATCATATGTTCATTTAAGGTTATGAAGTTTCAGTGATACAATTATTTCCTAGCTGATTTATTATTTTCCTAACAAGACTCTGGCTTCTCCTATCTTGGTTCTATTTCCTTTCAGGGATCTGTGTTGGTCTCTGTTGTCACCCACAATTTTCTGGCACTTTCTCTTCTATTGATGGAAACAGTTTCCTTGGGGCTTCTGACTGTCCCACAAGCCTGTGCCTCTGAGATCCTCATGAATACCCCTGGGCCATAGATCCCCTCCACGCAATAATCTCTGATCTGAACGAAGATGTGGGCCTTCAATCAAGTCTACCAGTGACTGAGGCATTTCACAGAACTACTTGAATATGGAGAGGGAATGGTAATGTGATTATCTCGAATCTGGTCATTTGAGGAGATGGATCTATTTTCAATACCAGTTTTTATTCCATTCGAGCCCCTGATTAAATTGGAATTATTAATAACCTGCCTGGTCCAACTGACTGAGAAAAGGGCAACTTAGAGTTGAAGGCAGCTCAGGGTATATTGAAAGCTTGTCTGGGTAAAACATATATGCATACACTTTTGATAGTCCTGTGGCATTTTCACGTGAGCCTGAAAATTAGAACTTTTTTTTTAAGGGAAGATAATAGTGGAAATAAATAGCCATGGTGCACAGAGAAATAACTGCAAGAGAAAGTATAAGGGAGAAAGAACACAGGAAGATTTCCACCTAGATTCTGAGGTGGCCCAAGTGGTGTGGCATGGATTTGACTCAGTCTCTCATAATGACAGGAAATGAGGTGATTAGGTATACAGAGCATATGGGGCAGAAAACCACTAGGGTAATTTCTTAGCAATGAAAGCAAGGAAGAGTAGAGTCAATATTCTGGGCAACCATAGACAGTAGATGCTCATTGTTTACTGTGAACTGTTGAGTTTGCTACTTCATCAATTCAGGCCATCTTCATGTCTATTGAGTTGGGTTTAAATCTCAAAACCCTAATTAAGACTCATTAATTAATAACGTATTTATAGAAAATCTCATGTGTGCTCCAGGCATCATTCTAGGTCACCAAGGCAGGCAAGTGATGCGGGACAGCCACCATGCAAATAAAGAATGAAAGTTCACATTTGTTACGTTCACTCTGTGCCTGCCTCGAATCTAGGACTTTACCCAAATTAACCAGTGTGATTCTCCTCAAATCCTGTGATGTAACGAAATTATTATCCCAATTTTTGGAAGAGGAAACTGAGGCAGAGAGCCTTGCTTATTTATAGCTGTTAGGTTGGAGGACCAGGATTCTTATCCAGGCAACCTGACTCCGGCTCTGCATTCATGACGTCTGTGCTAATCTCACCATCTAACAAATAAACAGGAACTGTGTCAAATGATGATACCCTCTCTGCAGAGAACTAAAATCAGATGGCGTGACAGAGAGCAGGTTGCGTGGTCAAGGAAGGCCCCTGATGGGCGACGTGAAAATTGAGCTCTGAATAACAAGATGCTGCTTAAGCATTGCAGGTTCTTTATCGTCTCCCTGATGAGCAGTAATTCTTCAAGATTGTTTTAAGACACAAATGAGAAAAAAAGCAATGATGTTTTAAGATGTATTCTTACCTCTGTTTACCTAGAGATGAACAAAGAAGATGTGAAGGAGGCAGGGGGAGACTTTCAACCACTTTTCCAGCTCTTGGCTTCCTCAGCCATGTTGCCATCCAGCCAGGCCCACACACGACAGTCTGAGCAGCTGTCCTAGGTTTGCAGGTGGACTGGCTAGTAGGCGTCCCTCACAGAACCCCCAGGAGGAGAGCCGTGAAGCTACTCCCATTGGGTGGCTTCCTGAATGTCCTTATTCCCTCAGTTGTGTATGTGATTTCTGAGGTCCTAGCTTCAAACCTGAACCAGTTTGGGGTCCACCCTGCAGAAAAGAGGTGGGATGGAGTCACTTCCTCATTGGTGTATGGAGACTCCCTTCTCATCTGTCTGCACAGCTCCCTTGGGTTCCTGCATGGACACTGGGTCTTCGAGTGTCAGGTACATTTTCTCTGGGTGCAATTTTAGGCCTCAATTTATGCTGAACATTTCTAGCTAAGACTATCTCTGCCACTAATTTAGGCTGTTTATTGAGGTGAATTTCATGTATATATGAAATATGTAAAAAAATATATATAGTGAGAGTATGTTCTCACTACTATAAATATCTTAATGACTATGATTTTCATAAAGAACAATACTTAAAAATATTTTCACATCATTTCTGAATCTGAAGGGAAGTTAGAGGTGGGAAAACGAGGGGCAAGGATTCTAATGAGTCCTTAAGGATTGTCTACTAAACCCTTTTCTCCAAATGTTTAAAGTTTAGTTCAGTGAATACAGAGACAGTGAATATTACTCTCTAAAGAAAACTCCTGTAAATGAGAAGGTTCATTACTCCCATGCATTCAGTTGCCATTTGGAAAACAATCTCTGATTATAAGCACTGGATAATCAGTGCGATAATGCGTGAGGACTGATGTTGGAAATGAATCACAACTTAGAATTCTGTCAGTCAGGAAAAATCACATTAACATTTCATTATACATCAGACATGATAAAATTCTCTGTGACTTCAGCAGATATGACTGAAAGACCGCTTCTTCCATGAGGTCTTGGTGATACGATGTCTGTGGAAAAAATCTCCAAAAAGTTCCCTGTTGGGACTGTAATCTTATCTCATTCCATCTAGTCCCAAGGGCTTTCATTCTTTTTAACCCATAAATTTAAAATTAAAACGTGTATGATTCAGCTTATTATAATGTCTTGCTCTGGGAGAATTAATATAATTTCTTTCTGCCTCCCTCTGGCATTATATTTTAATGTTAAGAAATCTTAAATAGTTTTCTATTGTATATACATAAAAACTCTTTAATATACTGAATTACACACTCATTTTAAATATCAAACAGTTGTAGAATTAATCCCAAACCTATTTTACATGGTAATAGACCACATGCTT